TAATATGCGTAGTGATACATGTATATCGAATTTTTATTTAGCGGTTACCAAAAGTCAGTCCGTCATATTGAAGTTGAACTCAACTCGTTCACATGAACAATTGTACCCTGTAACTTAAATACAGCAGCAAAATACATTTTTGTCCAAAAAAAAAAAACAGCGTGTGAACGGAAGACGGAATAAGAGATGTCTGCATTCAAATTGTTAATTACTATACAACCAAGTCCGCGTCACGTGATTGCAAGTGATAAAGAAACGGAAGTTACGTTAACAAACGCAACTCGACAGTCGCTTTAGAAAATCGAAAACAGCTATGACAGCTTTTCAATCGTTGCCATGGATACTATAGTAGATCTTGGGAATTAATTTACAGCATAGCTTTGCTTTTGATGTGTTTCAGAAACGTGAAATGTGCATGGCAGCGTTCAATTTTATCATATGTAAAGTAATGCTTATGTGTTACATTGTCATGACAACCTGGATGTCTTCTAGCAAAAGTTATTTTCTGTATTTTACCAACACTTTGACATACACCGGAATCACGATGAAATCGGAAAGCTTTTTTAAAAACGCCTTGACAATTTGCCTGTTTAAAACTATGTTAAAGCAGAGGGTCACCACCTGCGCACGCGCGGGAATTGAGTCCTGAGCGACGATAACAAAAAAGCAAATATTTCTGGGTAGACGCTATGGCTTTAAAAAAGAAAACAAAGTTCCCGTTTTGTGCATTTGTACGAACTAGTTTACCTGCTATGAGCGCATCACTCAAATTTAACCCCACCACGTCCAAGTGTATGACTTAATGTTACTCCGCTATGACTGAAAAACGGCTAAATCTGCATCATATATGTGAGACAATTGCTATATTGAGTCTTGGGAATTATTCGCTGAATTTGTGACGGATATCTTGCAAGTACGTGCTTCAAATCGTTTTCACGAGACTTCGAATACCATCGATATATACTCGGCACTTCAAAATGTCTTCCGATACACATGTAATCATCATTTGACGTCATAGCAGCCGAGGAAACGGTGCTCACATGACAGGTCTCTACAAGACGACGACTATGTTTGTACTTCGAACGTGTTCTCAGCTGGAGTCTCCCACTCCGAGCATGTACGCTTGTCAGCTGTTAAAAGAAAAACTTAGATTTTTAAATTGCTTTTCGCAAATTCGTTGACCTACGGTTGAGATTCTGCTGAATTCATGCAACGAATAATTATTAAATCTACATTATCGTGATATAGAATCGGATTATAGCTCAACTTACATTTTTCCATGCGCCAATTCTGAATATATTGCTGTGAACTGTTATCATTACTGCAAAGGCAGATTTTTTGTTGAAAACATCCAAATGAGTAGTAATAAGCTTTTAACCGTCAGCTTGCTAACTTTACGGTAGCGTGTCGCCTTTTAAACGATTCGCTCATGTTTACGTGATTTTTTAAAGGGCGATGGTCGTCGCGCCTTGCCCTGTTAGACATAAAACTCATAGCGACGTACACAACGCGTGTTAATAGGTGATTTTCCGCACAACTGCGAGATCTCGAGAGTTGCGTGAAAGACGCGCGCCGAACGTCTGCCGTAAAATTCAAACGATTAGATTTTGAACTCAAATTTCTTTTTTTCGTGGCTCACACCGAAAATCCGATCTTTGTCAGGGGAATATTGCGTTTTAATACCCTTACTTCACCGAAATTGGCCATCATAAATGTGTACAGCACATTATTAAGCATGGAAATATCCCCCAAAATACTTTCGCGTTTGTCGAATCCCACGCGATGTTTGTTGCCACTGCGACGCTATGACTTCTGTTTGTCCTGTTTTTACGTTCGATTTCACGCATAACGCGGGATCTCGCTGTGAACGGAAAATGGTATGTTACATTGTTTCACCGATTGTTATTTTTGAAATTCGAATATATGATGCGCCACGACCACCGCTCTTTAAACATCTATGCCCCAGTACACATCAATAAGTTGGTGGTCATGTTAAGGGTGGACGGGAGTTGCATATTACCCCTGTATGTAAATTTGAATAATATTCAAATCATTGAAATCCATACAATGATTAGTACTCACCAAGAGATCTCTATTTAAATTCAAACAAATAACTTCTCCGGCATTCATGACTATATTTGCTAAAACGTTGTGTTTTATTGGTAACCACACTTATAAATGGACTTCGGGACAGCGCATCGATCGCGACTCAGTGTGTGTACATTACTTCACTGACAAGGGACTTGATAGACTAATATGTCTAATCTAAGTGTAATGATTGTCGATAATGGGTTGCCGTGGTTACCGAGGTCAATGTGGCGAGTGGTCAAGAGAAACGATCGTTATTCTGGAATGATGGATAGCCACTCCACTCGTAGTGCATCAGTCGGCATGTGTATCGCTGTACATGTAAGGAGAAAGTTGTGCAATGGGGTTACCAGCATTTCCAGATTTCACAAAATCGAAAACAAAATCCCACTATTAAAAAGATAAAAACACTAAACAAGATGCCCAGAGCCAGTTTCATAGGTGTTTTCCGGGCTTTTCGCTGTCTCTCATTTGCATAAGTAAGTCGCTTTCCCGTTCAGCCAAATGAGCACACCGCTTACAGTTTCACGGAATAGAGGTTGCACCGCCCGTCAAATCATTCATCGTGTTCTTATATATGAGTTTTATTCATTGGGTTTTAAATGCACTGATCGGCCAGTGAAACAATAAGTTCTTTTATAAATTGACACACATGGATCTAGTTTAGCGCGTTTTGGTTATCAGCGAAAATAGCGAAGTAAGAAAACTGATGAGTAATGAGTGAGGTTACAGTAACAGAGATTGCATGGTCTGGGTATCAGTTATAAGTGACCTATTCATTTTAACTAATACGTGTGGGCGGTATACATGGTTTTCCACTTGTCGCGTGTAATATTTTAGTTACGATCTTTACTTGTGCATGCAGTGGGAGATCAACAACAAAAATAGAACTAAAAATGTTGCATTCAATCTCTGACATTTAAGATGATTTAAAAAGAACTGTTTGTCAATCTACGAATTCTTTTGATGCGATTATGGTAATCATTCGTGATGGCCATTGTAACTAAATTTCCCGGATGTTAATCAATCTAGATGTCATCCTCGAGGGATTAATTGAAATCTTTGACAGACACTTCCTGTCAGTTCTGATTGCACTGGCGGAGAACATGTGTTTTCAAGCATTACACATGGTGTTATACTAGAAGCTGTCACTTACTGCTTGATACAACCAAGGTTCTCTTATATGGCCGTGAAACACTTGTTATATTGCTAAAGTTAAAGTGTACATTACGTAGAATTTATTACGTATACACCCACCTGATGATGGCAAGTTGATTCTAAACCGGAACTTGATATCTCTTTCTATTGCCCCTTGACACACAGCGGTGACGTAAGTTGGGTCATTTCCAGTGACGTAAGTTGACAACTTCCGGTGACGTAAGTTAACTGATAGATAAGCCCGTGGTTTCAGATAATTTTTTTGTTTATAAGATTATGCTAAATAGTATTCTATTCAATTATTTGTGAGTTGAAGAATGATATTTTACAGATATTTCTCCCTGATACACTGTATCCTGGCAACTTTTTATATAAAACAAGACACTGTTTTCCAAGACATTGCGTGACGCCAAAGTCCCTATAACCTTCGGTGACGTCAATATGTTCATTTCCCCGCTAAAATATGCAAGCGGAATTTTTCAAAATGTGTATGTACTTTTCTATAATTTTATATCTAATATATGTATATATTTCATTACTTACTTTTGATTAACATTTTCAGACACGAAAACAATTATAATGCGAATTTACTTTGTGACAAAATCATAACATTTGGCTTGGAAGTCAAAGTGTCAAGTGAATAAATTACGAGTTTGTTGCAGTGCACCATATATTGTATAGTCAATTGTACAGGTTAGGCCAGACTTTTATTATCCCTTGTTTCGCGAACCCGCCGAATGAACAGGAACCGAAAATGAAATAAAAATTAAATGTTATTTCAGCGTAATTTCTCGCGCCCGCCGACTTGTAAGCGCAAAAAAAAATGCTAAAATTTTTTTATTTTTATCTTCATGTTTTACTGCCCGCCGCATAGCAAATCCAAGTTGCATTTTCGTGGGAGTATCATTCTCAAAGTACCGAAGTCTCCCGCAGATGAGAAACAAGGTTATACATGGAATAAAATGTTATTTCATTTCTTCTCTCCGATCAATGATCTCACTTACAATTCTTTGAGAATCACACTAATCTAATGGAAAAAAAGAATTAATTTTGTTTCCACCCTCCTCAAAAAAATTGCCTTATAAAAACTCCAGAAACAAAGAATAAAAAAAGTCTGGCCTTATGATAAATGAATATATATAAGTATTTATAAACCACACATGTTGCGTTTGCAGGACGTACATTCATTTGTTTCGTCGAAATAATACTTAGAACAGATTGTGTTCAGTTCACGATAAATCATATTCCAATGTTTCTATTTATACAATATCATACAACAATACCAAAAAAATTTGGATTTTTCGTCCATATTATATCTTTAAAAGCAATCATAAGTTCATTATTTTCGAGTGGGCTCTAGTTCGCTTGCACAATTTAATGGAGATTATCATCACCTACATATTATCGCAGATAGAGTGAAAATGATAAGACTTGAGATCCATGCAAATTACAGCTAATGGGTAAGATAATATTGTTAATGGGATAGGAATGGACAATAACTACTCAGTGGGCTTTAAAGGTTACTTATTTGTGTCTGATTTATCACTGAATTACCTTTTTTTATTTACAGATTCAAAGACCAATACGTTGCCACCCATTGGTTCCCGGCGTTTCTGGCTTTCTCACGTGGCTCTCAAATAGTACCCAATCTACGCGTTCCTCTGTCTTGATGTTGGGATTCTTCTGATCACTGGATTAAGTGTACTGCGCAGACTCGAGTCGGATCGTTTTCGTCGTTACGTCTGCTTTCAAAGATGGGGTTCAGCTGGAGCGAACTTCTGGAAAGGTTGTTGCGGAAAAAAGCGATCGACTCGTCGGCGGAAATTGCAAACGTCCCGATATCTGGGTCATTGTCAAAATGTCTGTCCACCATGGATTTAGTTTCGCTAGGCGTCGGAAGCTGCATTGGTACTGGTATGTACGTGGTGTCCGGTTTAGTCGCCCGTAACGTCGCCGGTCCCGCTGTCATTTTGTCGTTCATGATAGCTGCATTTGCCTCCATTTTGTCAGGTGAGTGTCCGTGTGCTTATGTTTTTACCCAGACATCACAATATTGATGTCTTTGATCGTGTCGTCTGCTCCAACAGATATAATTGTTTCCGGCAATGCGCATAACCTCGTCCAAGAAGTATATATGTGTTACCCAAAACATTACCAAAACAGTATTCGTGGTGCGAGAGATAAACTTGATTTTGTCGCCTGCTTCAAATCGTCTGCTGACATCGTCTTCCAGGTACCTATATGTTCTAACCCAGATGAGCAAAATTTCACCCAAATCATGAAATTTTAACCTACCTGAATATTAACTGCGTGTATAACCTCGAGTATGGTGTTTACTACTTATTCAGTTGGACCGTCACTAAGACATGCACATGAAACGTTCCAGTGCCATTTAAAATCGGCAGCTTGGAAAACGCTAATGGCATCTCCAGACAAAATTGCGATAAGCAGAATTTTAGTTGGCATATTCTAAAAATAATACTTAGCCATGTGGCATGTTTACTATTGGCGACACGATTTACAACAAAATATAAAAATAGACCATACTCTTGGCGCCTAGTACTTTGCTCGAGACGTGTCCGTTCCTATGTCTTGTGGGAATTTTGTATTTCTAATTTACTTATTTCTATCTCACGCGTACGATAAACCTGGTACTAAAAGCGGCACAGCGACACTACTTATCTTTGCCGACTTAGATTAAATTGAACCTTAGATGCCTTTTGTAAATCTTCAATTTAATTCAATTGTATAACTCTCGTGGGATTCCGGTATTAACATGAATGTCTGATTTTGAAACTGTGTTTTTAATTGGGAGTAGCTGCGCATGTTCAGTATTTATTCAGATTCAAAAATAACCATTTTTTCTATTAAATGTCGTATGAACTGTGAAGTAGGTTAGTTAGAAGTATTGCCGCCAACGTCAAAAGAGGCTGATGACCTAACGTCATCGTACGTTATTGCTGGATAATGTTATGACTCATTGCAGACGTGTAGGACATGTAAACAACATTCAATATACGTAAACATGTTGCAGCTATGAACTAGTGGGCAGAACTGTGTGTGTGTTCGTCGTAATTGCAATATTTTGTTGTTCGTACAACGTAAATTGAAAACAATAAATTCCGTAATTCTGTAATCACAGGTTAGACGATAAAGAATAATCCAGGGAAATTACATTTTAGAAACTGTAAAACGGCTAGATGACACAATTCACTGCAAAATAAAATTTTTACTTTAAACTGTAAAAACGTTTTTTTTCCTTGTAAATTGTAAAAAGCCCTTTTTATTTCCCGTAAAACTGTACCTCCTGCTACCCCCCCCCCCCCTCTGTATAGGTGTTCCACTGACATCTTTAGAATATTCCATCATATTTCAAGGAACCATTTCAATATGCTTTTAAGCTTTCCACTCTATCTCAAGAATCATTCAAAATATGTCATTGAAATGATCCCGTTCTGATTAGTTTTTGGTCGCAATTTGTGTATATTAATTATTTAATTTGTAATTTTCATAAATTAGCATATTGTTAGGTGTTCTAATTTGCATACTTAAAATTTTTGTCTGGTATCTCACTGACTATTTTAGATTTATGATGACTCGCAGAAAGCAATCAAATTTACAACTTTTCTTAGATAAGAGTTTTCTCTTGGTATTATAAACTTCAATGCTGTGAATGAATTTGCATTCACATTGCTCATCTGAAATATCGGGTTGTATTAGTCGACATACTTATTATTTAAAAGTCTAATCGTCAATGTTTAACTGTTTTCAAATATTTCCGAATTCTGCTTCTCAGGCCTCGTATATCCTCAACACACGAGAGTTTGTGTTTAGTTTTTTTCATATGATGTGTTATGTGTACGCAGAAAATGTGCATTTATCTGCCTGTCTTGTTCGACTCTGAATCACGTCCACTCAAATGGGTAAGCCGGTTTGCCCGAAGACACAAACCACTTTCGTCCAATTCTAACAATATGGTTGATGTAGAAACGGAAATATTAAACTCGTGAAATCTTTAAATGGCCTTGAAAAACATTAGTTTTGAAAAGACGTTCGTTTCGGACCGTAGCCAGTCGTTTAGTGAAGCGGAAATTGCATGAAACTCGTAATTGAAGGGAATAGCCTCGATGGCAATACAGTTTCACTGGCTATGTAATTTAATATGTTAGCCTGGCAGTATACAACAATCGGGCAAATTCTGTTTTACTCACCCATGAAAAGTCAACGAGTTCATCAGTGCATGCGCATGCGCGCTTTTACCTGAATCTTGTTATACTGCCGAGCGCTGTAACGAATTTTCAATTTGATATAGTTTGGTGGGATTGACATCGTGAACAGTGTTTGAATGATGTATGATACATTATCCGATTTCTTTTAATGAGGTCTTGAATGTGTAGTTAAATCTAGACTAATCTGTTATGCCAACATGTCTGGGTGTTTCTTCCTGTACATGAAATTACCTCTATATAAAAGTCATGATTCCTGTGAACCCGAACGACCCATTCCGCTTGTATTTGATTTAATTACATCAATACATTATGTTACAAAATCAAGATGGCGACTGCCTTGGTTTAAATTGAATTACGATATATGCATAGCATAATCATTTCGGTCTGGTGACATTAATGAATAATATTGCATGAATACTAAGATAGAGATTGGAAATATGATTTTCGCATTTGTGAAAATTATTGTTAATTAATTAATTAACTAATTAAAATGATGTCACTGCAGTATATGTTGTTGATCTGCTATGCGTTTTATTCCCTTGTCAATCACAATTCCGGTGTGAAGGGACAAGTGAGACGGCTTTCAAAAGGAACGCGACAGGCAACAGAAAGCAGGTGATTTACATAAAATCACGCATTCGCACAACCAACATATGGTCGATTGCGATACAGTATAATCCATGCATCCTAAGCCTAAAACTTCAAGATGGAACGGGAATTGAGATGGCTTGAATTACAGAGATGCGACTTGGATGTAATTTCTTTCATCGAACGAAGCTGTAAAAGAGCACCCCCTCTAAATGTATGATCTATGTCGGTGATCGAGAGCCCGGTTTCTTACGTCTTAAGATTGTGTGTTTCCTTGTCTTGAAACACGTCAATTGTTTATGTGTCTTTACATTACAATAGATGTCTCAGGGTGGTAATATTTTTCTCAGCATACTAACAGCCCTAATTCATTGTTCCAAATTGGAATTAAAATAAAGGAATCCATCCAAAACACATTAAATTATGCTTCTAATCATGAGGTTGTGTTGCTGGATTACAGATTGTCTGTCATTTCCATAGGCAGTCCCATTGTTCAGTGACCTCACACAAATTGGGGTTTGGTTCCCCTCACATGCCACTGTGGTACTGTTATATTCTGTGCATTGCTGTCGTTTAAATATTGACTCGGTAAGTATATGAATTGAACATCAGCCAGTTTCACAATGTCACCAGGGTTAATCAACTGGCCACAGGCTCACACATATTTTCGAAATGATGAAATGCGGCTCTCAGGGAACAAAATTATCTCTTACACATTAATTCAAGATTCCTAATTCAGATTTCCTAATGGTGGCCACAGGTTAGAAAGCACTCGGGGAGAGAGTTGTGGTGTTCCTAGCAGTGGAGAAGCTTTCAACTCGGAACGAACATGCGTACACAAACTGCAATTCCATCTTCATAGCTGAAACTCCCTGTAACGCCAATTATTAAACCAAAATCTATATGCCAAACTTACGGATTACGCTCATGCTATATCTAAGTATTGAAGCTCAGCATTACACTTACATAAGTGTCTCTCATTCTCTGGTGACTTAATTTGTTTAAACTTATATATTATTCATTTTTTGAATTTATTCGTACAGTTCAGTATCTTTTAAACCCGCAATAATCTGCTACTCTTAAAACAAAGAGACAGAAACCGGCTAGAAATGCCGCGAGTTAGATAGGTAGAAACTAACTCGTGTTTTACCCCAACGGCACTTGCCATTCAAAACAACATTGGCAAAATGAGTGAGGTATATTATATGACAGCAGTTTCTCGGGATTTATGACATTTTGGACATATTGAAAAACTGCGAACCAATGGCAATACATGTCATCAGTCAACGGACAGAGATCAGATAGAGATGGCGAAATCAGTGCATGTATACCAGTTCATGATTCTCTCCAGGAAACATTTTTAATATCAAAATATCATGGTGGAGGAAAGAATGAATAGTGCAAAATCATGATCTGATATATTATTTTGAACTCTTCACGCTAAAACAAACAAAATAAAATAATTGCAACTATTCACTATTTTATGGTTACAGTAAGTACACTTTCGGGATAGCGTAAATAAATAAGTAAGATCACATCGCTTCTTGTCTCATTTTCCCTGGCACGTGTAACCATGAAACAGTGGTCGCGATTTTCGGGGGAAAAAAGTCTCGTGGCTCCCCCGCTCTCAACGAGATCTCGGCGGCCATTTGTAAACAGTGTCTATTCGAGACAATTGTTATGATGTGCACTAGTTTATTAGTGTAAAATAATTTCTCAAATTAACTACATTGAGAAAAAAATACTGCTTCGTACGTTTCTTCAAATGCGTATTGAACATCCGCATAACGAGAATAAATCAATCTTCAATTTCGTGATCGTGCAAACTAGCATGCAACTAAAACATCGATCAGTAGCATCGTTTTAAAGGGCGGCGGTTGCCGCGCATCGCGCGATCGAATTCCACGTAAATAAACAATGTATTTTACACGAGTCGTGTACGTTGCTATGATTCCCATATCAAACAGGACGCGGCGCGACGGCCACCGCCATTTAAGTGTTCTCTATTCTACCAGAATTATACAGTCTTAACGCGACCGATACGTTGCCATGGACACATTATAAAAATTACCTTCGACAAATATTAGTCAAAACGAATCATTGGATAAAAAAATGTAATCAACTGGCGTATTAAATTGATCCATGCGAGCGAGATTGCATTAATATGTTATATGCTACAATTCCATTACATAT